AATTTTGATGTCCCATACGTGCTTCAACATTTTGTTCCTGTAGTGAAGGATTGAAATAAGAAGGTTTTTGGAAACATCCATATAAAGAAGGAAAGGTTACTTAAAAAGCTGAAGCGCATCCAAGATCAGAGAATTAATTGTGAATCAGAGGGTTTAAAAAGATTGGAGGAAAATTCTCATATAAAAATTGGGAAAATTTTAGAAGATGAGGAGAAGCTTTGGTTCCAAAAATCTAGACAGCAGTGGATTAGAAATAGGGACCGTAACATAAAATTTTACCACCTCTGCACAATCATTCGCAGAAATAGCAATAAAATATCTAGGCTGAAAGATGATGCTAATAGATGGGTTACAAATTTGAAGGAACTGGAAAATATAACTTGGAGATTTTATAAAAATCTCTTTAAGGAAGAGATTACAGTTAGGAGATGGCTGGATTCAGAAAATTTATGGCCCCAGATGACTCAGGAAGATAGATTGCAGTTGGGTAAAACTCCTTCGGTTGAGGAGATCCAACATGCTGTGTTTGATTTGGGTGCTTTAAAAGCTCCGGGTATAGATGGTTTTCCTGCGATATTTTTTCAAAGAAATTGGGATACCGTAATGAATCAGATTCTTAAGCTGGTTGATGCTGTCTGGAGTTATCCTGAGCTCGTTTCAACCATAAATTCAACACTTCTAGTCCTTATCCTAAAAAGTCAGACTCATCTCATATTACTCATTTCGGACCCATTTCTTTATGCCCGGTTATCTACAAGATATTGTGTAAAATAGTGGTTATGAGACTCAAACCAGTCACGATGAAGGTAATATCCCCTATGCAAGCTAGCTTTGTTCCACAAAGGCACATACAAGATAATATCATAGTGGTGCAAGAACTCATTCATACTATGCATCACATGAGAGGAAATAAAGTATTCATGGCTATAAAGGTGGACCGTGAGAAGAGATATGACAAGTTAAACTGGAATTTTATGAAAAATATTATGCATGAATTGAAGCTCCCTCAAAAATTAGTTAATGTTATTTTGCAAGCAATTTCCTCCATAAGAATTAATATCTTATGGAATGGTAGTGTAACTGAGGAGTTTCAGCCTACACGTGGGATCAGACAAGAGGATCCATTATCTCAATGTCATTTCGTTATGGCAATGGAAAAGTTGTCTCATATAATTGACACAGCAGTGAGGGGGGAGTTATGGAAGCCCATTCATGTTGGCAGGGAGGGGCCAAAAATTTCACACTTAATGTTTGCTGATGACTTTATGCTGTTTGCTGAGGCCAATATGGATCAAATTCATATTATACTCAAATGTCTTGATCTATTTGGTGAAATATCAGGTGAAAAAGTTAATGTAGAGAAGACCAATATTTTCTTTTCAAAGAATACTCCGGAAGATGTGGCTGCAAATATTACTAAATTTTGTGGATTTAAGAGGGTAAGGAATGTAGGCCGTTATCTTAGAGCTTTGATGCAACATGGCTGTGTCTCAAAGGAGTCCTATATGGCAACAACTGATAGGGTGAGAGAAAAACTGAATGGCTGGAAAGCTAAGTGTTTATCTCAAGTGGGTAGAATCACTCTTGTCTTAGCTACTGTTCCATATTTTCACATGCAATCTGGCAGACTTCCTAATAATGTGTGTTTGGAGATTGAAAAAATTCAAAGGAGATTTATTTGGGGTGATACTGAAGATAGAAGATATATGCATTTAATAGGATGAGAAACAATCACAAAACCAAAATCGAAATGTGGGCTTGGTTTGAAGAATCTTAGTACCATGAATGATGCCTTTATGGCTAAGTTAGCATGGGCTATATACTCAAATCCCCAAGCCCTTTGGGTTCAGATTCTTCATGCTAAGTATGCAGCTGGTAGAGAGGGGATTGATATTTTTAAATCCAAAATGGGAATTCCAGAACCTGGATCTAAATCTGTAAAGCTTGGAGAAAACTTGAAGAGTTGCTTTTATGGGAAGTTGGAGATGGATCCTCAATTCTCTTTTGGAAGGATAGATGGATTTCTAATTCTGGCAGGCTTTTGGACCAGGCTATTCAAGCAATCCTTTGGGAGGAGGTAAATAAGTTAGTTAATCAGTATGTGGACATTTCTGGTAATTTGAAGGTAGGTGAGATTGCTAGGTGGCTGTCTTCGGATGTTATTGACTGCATTAGGAGTATTCTAGCTCCTGGTAGAAATGATGGTGAGGATAGATTATTCTGGCATATTCCTGGTCATCCGAGATTAACTATCAAAGGTTTGTATGAGGTTTTTTTTTTTTATTCTCAAAGTCAAAAAAAATGGGGTATCTGAGTTATGGAAAGCTATTTGGAGGTGGAAAGGCCCTCAAAGAACAAGAATTTTTCTTTGAAAAGTGGGTCATGACAGGTTGCCAACTAAAGCCAGAATGCATAGGCTACAAATTGGAGATCCAACATGTCCAGTTTGCAACCATGGTGAGGAAACTATTTTGCATATGTTAAGGGACTGCTCGAACATTAAAAATTTGTGGTGTCAAATGCTTTCTCCTATCTTGTCACTGTCATTTTTTGATTTACAGTTGCATGATTGGATGTTATTTAATTTAAATCATAAATCGCTAAGGTTGTTTGGCGTTCATTGGGAGACTATTTTTGGTGTCACTTACTGGATGGCTTGGTGGTGGAGGAATGAAATAATTCATAGTTCAAGTATGGCTAAAAGTAGATATAATCTTGATGTAATTAGGCTCAAAGTGCTGGAAATTTGGGCTGCTGTCTCTGATATGAGTGGAGGTAGAATGGATAGGGGATATAGTGAGGTTCTAGTCAAATGAGTCCCGCCAGATGCTGATTGGATTAAGCTAAATACAGATGGTGCTTCAAAGGGTAATCCTGGTAGGGCTGCTTGCGGGGGGCTGATTCGTGGGTCAGATGGTAGATGGTTAGATGCTTTTTTTTACAGGGTGGGTTTTTGCAATGCTTTAACTGCTGAATTATAGGAATATTTAAAGGGCTGGAACTTGTTTGGAATGGTGATTGGAGGAAAGTTATGCTAGAAAGTGATTCATCTACTGCTATCACTTTGCTCACCAAATATGATGATGCATCCTGTAAGTCTCGACTTGTGATTCGGATACAGGAATGACTATCAAATAACTGGACAGTTCAACTGGTGCATACATATAGATGAAGTAATTCTTGCACGGATTGGCTGGCTAATTTTTTGCTGGAAATGATGGAACAAGAGGACTATTTGACTTTCCATATGTGGTTGCATTTTTCTAATTTTAGTTCTGTTCATAGGACTAGAGTTTCTCGTTTGTAGTTTGTTTGCTTTTTTGTTTTGGGCTATGCCCTTATTTCAAACAAAAAAAAAGGAGAAAAAAATAACTTAAATATTATAAGTATGTACTCTTCGAAATATATAATTATAATCCGTGGTAGAAAAAAATATTTTGTTGCAACAACATAAGAAGTAGATTTTCCATAATAATATGATTTAAAAGATAAATATCTTCCTCTCAAATTTACTAAAAAAAATCTTCTCGTAAAAACAAATTGAACCAATAAATTACTTTCTAAATTAAATAATTTCTTTCTACTTTTTTTATTCCACCGTAATCGCCGCTTCCGTCTCTTATATCCGTCATTTTCTTCTTTTTCATACACGTATATATCATCTATGTGTCATTTTCTTGTTGGTACGTTAGAAACTGAAATGAACGTAAAGAACATTTTACTCCTCCAATAACCTTAGCCTTTTCAGACTTCGACTGGTTCTCTTGAAAACAACATGCCCAAAAAATATAATGATTCTGTTGATGTCGAGTTATTTTTATTATCTTATTTATTTAGAATGAGCAAAAATATATATTGCATCACTATAATTATTAGGCTGTGGTAATAATTTCAAATTTTTGTAAAACTATATGATCATCAAAAGTGATATATAAGCATATTCTTGTTTTTTTAATATAAAACTTCATTTTCAATTTTTTTAGCTGAATTTAAAGTAGAGATTTTATCACTATTTAATTTTTGCCATTAATTAGGTAACATAATTTGATTTTCACACATCAATAATTCAGCTCATGGGCAAGGATAGTCATGCAAAAGTATAAAAAATAATTCATATAATTTAAATTAATAAATTTATATAATTCTTACATAATCTAAGTAAGTTTTAAATACATGTAAAGTAAATTTAAGCGCCGATACATATCCCATGAATATTAATTTTATTGAAAATTGACACACACAAATTGCAAGACATAAAAGAGAAAAGGAAGAGAAATTCGACACAGCTGTTTATCTTGATTCACTTAATGTAGACTACATTAATTTATCTCTAATAATAACTATTCATAAGCCCAAATTCAAATTATTAAAAAAAAAAAATTACAATAAATCAGAACAATACTCAACAAGAACCTTTATCAATACGAATTACCAATAATACTCAATAAATCTTAACACCATATCTCCCGAACATAAGGAACAAAGGAAAGTACCCCTTCCAAATTCAAGTCCCTGCATGGGCATGCTGCTAATAAATTATTCCAAGTTAGGCAAAACCATGCCTTTATACATAACAACAACGTTAATCAAATCTAGAGCTTATTATCTATAAATTCTAGTGTAATGAAAGTTGACTTTCTCATTAATCAGTAAATAGTATTTTTTTAAAAAAGCGTTCATCTCCTAAACAAGGAAACATGCCCTACAAAAAACAATCCTCTCATGGTATTGCAAAATGCACAAATGCAATATGTTTCAAACTTTTTAATACCGAATATTGATTAGGATTTAATTGAACCTGTTGTTTTATTAACACGAACGCCAGTGTTAATGAATAATAATAAAAACCCTAATAAGAGCCGAATGTAACAACAAATCTTGGAACACTCAATCTGCACCGTCAGTGTGACATCCAACGGTCCATATGGGTGGGGCGTTGGTACTTATCACTCCTCACCATCTTCACACTCGCAGTCTGCCTACTCCATCAGAGTATCTATTTCTGTTTCTGATTCTCTCCTAACATGGACCAACACATCGTCGATCCTCCACGTTCTTCTTCTTCTTCACTCTGAACCCAACCCCGATCCTCATTTCAATTCTGACCCATCAAACCAATCACCATACCCACCAATAAAAGCACAGCTTTTTCCGTCTTTAACGTTTGATTCTGAGCTGAGCTCGTGTAATTGATTAGCCATAACCAAAAAAATAAAAATGAAAAATCGAACTTTATTTTTTTGTAGCTCTTGATTCAAACCTGTTTGTGCTCAAAGTTTCTGTCTTTGTTGAAGTGCCGCGTGTATATCATTTTTTTGTTCGTGGTTTGTTTTTTGGGTCACTGGGTTCAGTCAAGTTTTTTTTGTTTTTGTTTTGCTGTATCTAATGGTAAGCGATAGTTACCCGAAGATGATGTCAGATGTGGCGATTCGATCGATGTTGAAGAAGCCTGATTACAACGAGGATTTGGGGGTTCTGAGGCGGCAGCAAGAGGCGAGTGAGAGGGAGAGAGAACTCGCGAGGTTGCGAAGTGGGTCGGCGCCTCCCACCGTTGATGGGTCATTGGCGGCGGTTGGAACTTTGTTCGATGGCGGCGCTCCGGTTGCCGGTTTTGGTTACGGGAGAGGTTTTGGGAGTGAGGAGGAGCTTCGAGCTGATCCTGTTTACGCAAATTATTATTATTCCAATGTAAATCTAAACCCGCGGTTACCTCCTCCAATGTTGTCTAAGGAGGACTGGCGTGTAGCGCAGCAACGGTTGAGAGGTGGTTCGAATGTTGGTGGGATTGGTGATAGGAGGAGGAGGGTGAGTGGTAGAGGGTGTGATGATGGTGTAGATGGAGACATGTCTATGTTCTCAGTGCAGCCTTCTGGGTTTGATGTTAATGATGAGAGTGTTAATGTTGTTAAGCAGAGGAAGAATGTGGAGTGGGGCGGCAATGATGGGTTGATCGGTTTGCCGGCATTAGGTAGCCTTGGAAGTAGGCAGAGGAGCATTGCTGAACTATTTCAGGTGAGAGTTAAAGCCAATTCTTTGACATTGTGTTTGTAACTAGAATGTTATTTATTTATTTACTTACGCTTTAACATCATGAGGTGAAAATTTCAATTTTCAATAAATTTTGTGCTCAACATAGCTTCTCATGTTATCATTTTATTCAGTTACATTGTTTCTGATGTTTTCTTTGGCATATTTTCAAAGCAGGATGAGATAATTAGTGCTGCATCTGCTTCTAAGCACCCTCATCATCTGCCTAGCTGTAATGGATTCAATGACATTGCTGAAAAATCAGAAACCCATTTTGCTTATCTGCATCAAGAGTTGGATAATAAGCATGGCATGTCTGCTGCCCAAAACCTTGTTGGTTCAGCGTCTCAAACTTATGCTTCTGCTTTAGGAGCCTCCCTGTCAAGGAGCAGCACCCCTGATTCTCAACTTCTACCTAGAGCTGCTAGTCCTTGCCTTCCTCCCATTGGGGATGGGAGGTCCAGCTCTGCGGATAAGAGAAATTCCAATGGTCAAAACTCATTTAATGCTGTCTCATCCAGTTTAAATGAGCCCGCGGATTTGGTATCTGCTTTGGCTAGCATGAATATGTCTACAAATGATACAATAGACGATGAGAAACATCCCCAGTCACCAAGGCACAATGAATTAGATTATACTCACAATGTGAAACAGAAAGCATACTTAAATAAGCATGATTCTTTTCCTTTTCAGCATCATTCTGCTACCCAACCCCATTCGAAAATGAGTCAAGGCAGCGGTTTTGGATTGGATGTAAACAACTCTTCAGTATATGCAATCGAACAGCTAGAACCTCGTAAGGCTGGTGGAATTTCTGTTAACTCACACTTAAGAGGACCTTCTACGCCAACTTTTACTAGCAGAGGTAGTTCACCTGCTCACTATCAGAATGTTGATGATATGAACATCTCGTACCCTAACTATGGCATGAATGGGTATGCTGTTAATCCTTCATCACCATCCATGATGGCAAGACAGCTTGGGAGCGGCAATTTGCCTCCTTTCTTTGAAAATGCTGATGCTGCATCTGCACTGAGAATGAGCGCCATGGACTCTAGAGCCATAGGAAGAGGTGCAGCTTTAGGACCTTTGTTGGCTGCAGAGTTACAGAATGCAAGCAGGCTGGGAAATCATGCTGCAGGTAGCACTCATTTGCTTCCCTTGATGGACCCTTTGTATATTCAGTATCTGAGATCAGGGGAAGTTGCTGCTGCACAGATTGCCGCCCTTAATGAGTCGCCAATAAATCGGGAATGCCCAAATAATTCATTTACAGAATTACTTGGCCTCCAAAAAGCTTATGTAGAGTCTTTACTTGCCCCCCAAAAATCACCCTTTGCTGTCCCCTACCTTGGTAAATCAGCTAGCTTGAACCATAATTCTTATGTAAATCCATCATATGGTCTGGGCATGTCATATCCAGGAAGCCCACTGGCTGGTTCCCTTTTCACAAACTCCCTCCACGGACCAGGTAGTCCAATGAACCAAAGTGAACGAAATGTGCATTTGTCTGGGATGAGAAATGTGGCTGGGGGTTTCATGGGTGCTTGGCCTTCAGACACTGTTGGTAACTTGGATGAGAATTTTGCATCTTCCTTGCTCGATGAATTCAAAAGTAATAAAACGAAATGTTTCGAACTTTCAGAAATTGCTGGCCATGTTGTTGAGTTCAGGTGCATCCTGCATGTCATACTATGTTTTGCTTCTTGACCTTGAACATTTGGCTAACTCGATTTAATATTCTTTCTTAAACAGTGCTGACCAATATGGAAGCCGTTTTATCCAACAGAAACTTGAGACAGCTTCGATGGAAGAGAAAAACATGGTTTTCCATGAAATCATGCCACAAGCACTTTGTCTAATGACTGATGTCTTCGGTAATTATGTGATTCAAAAGGTAATTTTGTTCTTTAGTTTATATTTATACTATATATAGAATCTTATTATATTTGCACTTTGAACTTGTATAGTGTGTTTTTGTAATTGGTATATTCAAGTGGGTAGCAAATTTATTATATAGAGCAAAACACTTTCAAATTTGTTATATGTATACCTAACTTATTGTGATTCATGTTTAGTTTTTTGAGCATGGAACAGCAACACAAATTAGAGAATTGGCTGACCAGCTTACTGGTCATGTGTTAAACCTAAGTCTCCAAATGTATGGCTGCCGAGTTATCCAGAAGGTCTGCTCATCACTTCATCTACCTTTTCATTTTTCCATAATTATATACCCTGCTTGTATAATGTTTTACGATATTCTACAGTTCTATGTGATGGATTGTAGTTGGTTGCAGTAGTCAATCAAACCATCGTGGCCTTTGGCCACTAAAGGTGTGGCATAGCATCAGGTTTTGCCGTCATGGCAATAGCCGCTGGGATTGCGGCCAAATAGTGGCTGTGACAGCCGCTACAATGAATAAGAGCAAAAACCTCTCCTCTCTAGTTTGCCTCTGCCTTCTGTTCCAGCTGCATCCTGGCAGCCCAGAGGTTTTCTGATCAAGCCTGCACTTTTTCTGGCCAAGTCCCACTATGAGTGTTTAGCTCTGTTTCAACAGCAGCTTCTAGAAGAAGCCTTCTCCCTTTCACAGAGCTCACATTCGGACCAAACCTGGACTTCTTTTGTAAGGGTTTTCCTGACGAGTGCCCTAAGGGCATTGGTTAAGATGATCCTAATTGTTTAAAGAAGAAAAGATTAAATGTTTTTTGAATTTTCTATATAATAAAAGCTTTACTTTTTATTTAATACCTTTTATTTGTTTCCTTAACACTTAAAAGGGTGCTTGTTAGCAATTCCCTTTTTGAAAAAACCTTTTTTTGTCTTAGTGGCAAACCTATTCTGAAACAATACGACAACACTATACTTTTGTTTTGGTAATTGGCATTATTTTCCCACTTTAGTAATAACTTTTTTTCTTTAACACTTGTAATTAGTACTTTAAATTCTTCATAACACGTTGACTTATATAAATGCTGATTATGTTAATCTTTGAGTGGTGATACTTCATTTATTGTTTCATTAGTTTATGGTAAAAAAATTTTAGTATTAATTTTGAATATTAATGATGAATGTCCTAATTGAGTACTTTTTGAGTTTTGAGCAGTTATGTGTGTATTTTATATTATATCTGCTACTTTTGGTATAGTGGTCGCTCCAAGATCTACTCTAACTAGTTTGGGGTTGGCTGTTCCGCCTATCCATGATTGACTACTATGGTTTGTTATGTCAAAATTTGTTGCGGAGAGCAATGCTTTTAATTGTTATAGACTTATAGTCTATGTGGAAAGACCAGGAACATGTCACCCCGACACTGCGTTAACTGTTATGAATACTGCCTTCAGCATGCTCTCTTGTGAATGAGAGGGATCACACTAAAGGGTTGTCAAAGGGGCACCCTGTTGAAAATATTCACAATGAGCTAGCTTTTATCTTATTTGGTATAACTCATCAGGTATTTTTTTTATTTTTATTTTTGAAACATTTCACATTTTAATTAACAGGGTGGGGGTGGGTGTTTGAGAGGAATCCCAGTCTTTTAAATTGTTCATTTTCCTCAATGTTAAAAAAGCTATGGTGCCGTTTTGACCTCAAATTTTTCATTTCACGTTAAAACTTCAAACATTTTTAAGTAAGACAAATTGGGTGGTTCTGTTTGCTTATATGCAATTGTTCATTGTGTTTGAGACTGATATTTTGATTATGCTGTGAGTGATAACTGCTGCTGTGATTTGTCTGGGTGGATGGTATAGTTAACAGTTATTCATCTTGTTTTTCTCTTCTAATTTGTCTAGGCTATAGAAGTTGTTGATATGGATCAGCAGACTAAAATGGTTACCGAGCTGGATGGTCATATTATGCGTTGTGTACGTGATCAAAATGGGAACCATGTCATCCAGAAGTGTATTGAATGTGTACCTGAAGATGCCATCCATTTTATTGTTTCAACGTTTTATGACCAAGTTGTGACATTGTCAACTCATCCATATGGTTGCCGTGTTATACAGGTCACAGATGCATCTTATACTTTAATTTGTGTAAACACATTTTTGCTGGATTGACAGCTTGGAAGATAGTCATTATAATTCTAAATTAGTTAAGTTTCAATGAGCAGAGAGTCTTGGAGTACTGCCATGATCCCAAAACACAGCAGATTATGATGGATGAGATTTTGCGATGTGTCTGTATGTTAGCACAAGACCAATATGGGAATTATGTTGTACAGGTTTGTTGTATTTCATTTTGATTTTTTGCTTGTTAACCCATTGGTTTACAACCTGTGATTTTATTTTCTACTTGTTAACTGCTGTCACATGTTCTTGTGCCTAAGGATGTCATACATACTTACCTCAAGGCAGTTAGTTACTTTTTTTACATTTCTTGTTATTCCATTGTATCTGTATTTCCAGTATGCTCTTTTGTAGGAATGTATGTCATACATACACTTCAATCATCTAATTTTTCTTTAATGAAGTGGCAATCAACTTTCACATGCTTGGTTCTGTCATGATGAACAGGGTTCTTAATAATACTAAGTCTTCTTAACCAAATTTCCTCTCAAATGTCGTGAGCCAGTGCTCGGAATTCAGCTTCAACATTACTGCTTGCCACTACCCATTGTTTCTTACTTCTCTGGTTTACCTTAGAATATGGTAAACTGTATCAAGATGCTTTTCCTTGTTGAATTCATAAATTAGCTGACCATACTCACTGCAAAAGCAATTTTAGGCTGTGTATGAGATAAGTAGATCAACTTACCAACCAAAGCTAGATACTGCTCCTTATTCACCTTTTCAGCATTGAACCATCTTCAATGCTGAACTTGTCATTATGTTCCATCCTGTCTCACCAACAATTCAACCTTAATCCCAGTCCCATAAGTGTCTTAATTAGATACACTACCTAACAGGGATATAAGTGTTATTCCCCATCCCAAAAAGTTTTAATATCTGAACAATTTTGCCCAATTGGTATCATGAATCAATTATGAGTATGCTAAACATTTAATCAATTAAGAAAGCCCTTTAGGTAAAAACTAATGATAGTAACACTTTGTCCATACTGAAATTGAGGAAGGTTAATAATGAAATGCTCAAATTCTTGTGGCTCTAATTGGATATAATTGGATGTTTTAGTGATTTTGAGAGCTTAATATCATTTTGTTAAAATTGTGATTTAAAACATAGGATCACACGATCCTACAATTTTTCCCCTTCAAATGATTCAAATCGCTCATGGGATCGCGATTTTGTAAAATTGTGTGGGATCTCCTTTGAAAATCGTAGGATCGCCTTTGAAAATTGTAGTATCAGTGGGATCGTGCCATCCAACGTTTTTTGATCCCAAAAATCCCAAGCCCACTACCCGTAAAACTCACCCACATTGACCCAAAATTCTGAAAATTGTAAATCAAGAACCTTAACCCACCTTCTCCCTTTGTTCTGTGACTTGTGAGACTCTTTCAAAGCTGAAAACACCTCAACAGATATTATATAAATTGGATGGAAAACGCACCCGAGTGTTGATTTTCTTTAAAGTTTAACAGCTGGCACTTCCTATGTTCTTCTTACATTTTTTAGCCTTAGTTTTGGCTGTTAAGATATTTGTATGCTTCTCGAGTTGATTCTTAATTTTGTTTCCTGCTATGAAAATTTGTTGGATGATTTTCTTAATTGCCTCTTTAGATTTTGCTCATTTTCCCTTAATCTTTGATTGTTGATTGTTGTTTACGAATGTCAGCATGTGCTGGAGCATGGCAAGCCTCATGAACGATCAGCTATAATAAAGGAATTAACTGGGCAAATAGTACAGATGAGCCAGCAGAAGTTTGCCTCAAATGTTATAGAAAAGTGTCTAACTTTTGGAACACCTACAGAGCGTCAAGTCCTTGTGAATGAGATGCTTGGTTCAACTGATGAAAATGAGCCCCTACAGGTTTGAGCATGATCTATGATCCCCATCACTGGATAGAAGCCATTATCTCTTGTTTTGTTGCATTATGCTCCTTTTAGCCGTCTGTCATCTATCCTGCCAAAAGTACAGCTTGAAATTATTTTATGAATATTTTTATCCCTCTTTTCTATTCCTTTTTGATGTTATCATTTTATTGAATAAAAAGTTTCTTTTATTCTGGCTGAAGCTTGGAATTTAAACAAATAAACTACATGTGATATTACTTTGGATTACCTAAGCAATGCATTTATTTTGATGAGTTGTGGTTTTTACTGGCTCTTATCTTGTTCTTGTTGTCAGAGAAGATGTTCTGCTAAATTTTTCTTCATGTAAAATCCATTTCTCAGTCAAAAGCAGGCTTCCCTTCTGTATTTTATAACTTATGATAGACTCTCGCATAAGCTGAGTTGCTTCATAGCCCTACCCCTCTAGTATCTCCAATGAAAATTTCTTGTTCTTTGAGGGGTCACTCGTACATTTTTTGTCCAGCGCAGAGGGTATACACTGGTGGATGGGTCCTTCCCCTTTAACATCACATACGTTTCTTAACATGCCCTTCCTTATTAATTTTATCTTTTTTTTTTACATCATAATTCTTTTCCCTTCTCTATCTATGGCTATATATAAAACAATTAATGCTAATACAATCATATATTTAAATAAAAGTAAAATAATAATAAACTAAGCTGTGAAGGTTGTTGATTAAAAAAGAGAATTAGGTATCTAGTGGTTTGCTGGGCCTACTTGGAGTTTATGGTTTTGACTCAAGCATTGCTCTATGTTAGTCTGTTGCACAAAATTAGTCTAATATTCTTCATAGCTTTTTAGATAATAACTTGATGATTACAATAAATAAATATAATCTACAATTATTTTATAATGAAGAAGGTTATAGTTACAATTTTTTTTTTTACAACCTCTTACAACCATATCTTATCACCATTGATTTCCGTCAATCAACGGTTATCATTTATTATGAATTAATAATTAATTAATGAGTTTAATTTGCTAAAATGATAACCGTTGATTGGCGGAAATCAACGGTAATAAGATATGGTTGTAAAAAAAAAATGTTGTAACTATAACCTTGCTCTTTTATAATTGTAGTGTTTTGTCAAACAATTTATAAGATGATGGTTTCTTCAGTTTTTGTAATTATATAACTCAATTTGTGTTGCAAAAAATTATTATTTAAACAATTTTTAGTAATTAAATTTTCATATTAATGGTGCCCTTCTTAAGTGTAATCTTGGCTCTACCATTGAAGGTATATGGCTATATGCAAAAATATAGAGTCTACCCATTTAAGGCTCTTGAAATTTATTGCTGGAGTCTAGAGATGGTTGAAGGTCACAAGTGTATTTGTTTTTCATGGTTAGAACTTAGATGCTCAGTCATGCATATTGTATCAGTTAATGCCTAGGGTATTTGCATTGTATTAAATAATCAGATTTTTATGTCTAGGAAATAATCTCTTTGAAAAAATGTAAGGGTAACGATGCGTTCCATCCTCGCCTTTACTTTCGCAAGGTCTAGGAGCCTTAGTACACCAGATTTAGCTCATTTCCAAAAAATTAAATCTGGTCTACGTTTGGTACTGTCATTCTTTGTTATATGGTTACTTGACCTTTTGTCATCTTTTATCACTATTTATGCTTTTTTAATATTTTGCTTGTATTATTTTTTGGTTTAGGCTATGATGAAGGATCAGTTTGCAAACTACGTTGTACAGAAAGTGCTGGAAACCTGTGATGACCATCAACTTGAGCTAATCCTTAATCGAATAAAGGTTCACCTGAATGCCTTAAAGAAATATACCTATGGGAAGCACATTGTTGCGCGTGTGGAGAAATTGGTAGCTGCCGGAGGTACTTTCAATCTCATAAAATTACTTTTCTTTTTTGCTCATATATTTAATTTTCTATTTTTACAATTGTCTCAAAATAGGTTTTCTCATGTATTCTTGAAAACTTATATGTACTTATTTTCGTTTCCCTCAAAAACCGTTTTATGTTCTAATTTGATTTAATTGTGGTGTTCCCTGGAAATTCATCCATGGGCTCACTTGACATTCTTTACAAAACTTGCATGTGTGTATATAGCATTTCTTGTTTGAAGAAAAAGTTTCATTTCCATCAACCATGGGATTCGATAATTTGCTTGTATCAACTTGTTATTCAATCAACTAGCATCATGAAGTAGGATGATCTATTAGTCTGGTAATGTTATGCAATCGATGAGTCATTCTCATTCCTGTCATGCACGATGAATGGTATTCACTTTTTATTCCATGCTGAAGGATGTGTAAGATAGGCTCCCAGGTGTAGTGATGTCTAAATTTTTGTTTTAGTTGGATGATGCAGTTTCATGAATTGACTTTATGACATGAAGTGGTAGATATTGGCGCAGTTTTAGTATTTCTTTAAATGCTTCATTATGTGTATTTAACTAGTAAAATGTTATATTTGATGGTTATGCAGAGAGGAGGATTAGTGTTCTGACTCTAAATCCAGCACAGATGGTATAGGAAATGAAGTTGTGTACAGCTAACTGAGGATAATACAAGCACCTACTCTTTTTTTCTTTTCATATCTGTATTGAGATAGACAGCGGCTGATTGGAAGTAATAAATTGTTAGTTGTACTTGAAAATGTACATTTATTAGTGTGAGGATATACCTAGAATCAGGTTAGCTCAGGCTCAGAGGCTCGGTTGGTAAATGATGCCTGAAGCCCATGCGGCAGAAATATGTTTTATGAGCTAGTTTTAATGTTGTAAAGGGAGGTGTTGACTGTATAAATTTTACTAGATTATCAGAGTTCTTGTATTCGGGATCCACACATTTTGATGCATTTGAGGATTTACTTTTTGCCCTTTGTTAATTGTGTGTGTGTGTGTTTTTTTCCCCCCATTCCCTTTGTGCTACATTTTTGCCTGTTGCTTGGGAAATACTTTATGCTCACTTCTAAGATGTTCTTGAGAGGTGATGAAATGTTTTCTGTTGATCTCCATCAAATTTGTTTTTTTTTGGTAAGAAGGTAACTTAGTTTAATGCATGTATGGTTTTGAGTATTTTACGTTCAAAAGTTTCTGTCAAAAAAGCTTTTTCTTGAGTGTTTTATTTATTAACTTTGAAGCTAAAACACATTTGGGAAAAGTAGTGAGATGTAATTTAATGAAATAAGATGAGAATATCTTTAATTAAAATAGAGACTATGCAAATTGATGGGTTGATTTAGATAACTTGTTCCGTGAAAATTAATGAGTTAACCCTGATGGGTAAGACTTGATTTACCAACTAAACCAGCTATGGCCAGTACCAAAATTTTTGAAAATTTCGTTCCAGTATTTAAGAAAGTTATACATACTTTACCCTAAACACTACTAAAACATCACGTGGCCACCAAAGGTTTTTCTTCAAGATCCGCCATTGCCTGTAAGGTTTAGCACCCACACACTCATGCTATTAAATCCTCACATGCTTTCCTCTCAGCTCAAACTTCATTTTTCAACTTCATGTGCCTCAAATTCTTCATTTGTCTGATGTATGTGTTGCTGTAAAAATATGGGCATGACATACGCTCACATTTTTATTTATTTAACTCTAACCCACATATGCTTTTTTCTTCATTGGTTATTGGGTGTTTGATAATATATTATACCTGTTCTATATTTCTCTATATTAGCCATTATTATTTTTATTGATGATCTAACAATTTATAAAAGAAATGTATATTTGTGAGGGATTTTGGGTATAGCAGCATCACCTTAGAAATGTCTAAAAAATTAAAAATCTTTTCATTGTGGAACAATTTATGCATTAATAATTATTTAACATATTAGCCATGAGAATTTTGTATCTATGTTTGAGGTACTAAATTTTTTTCATGTTTTTACCCCAAAAAAAAATCATGTAAACGTTATGTAGGTATACAAAATATTTTATAATTTAATTTTATATTTATAACAAATTTTATTAATTAAACTTGTATTTTTCTCCTCTATGCTGTTGAAGTATGGCAATAGCCATCCTCCCATAAAAATAAAACGTTTGAACTTGTGACATCCAAATTAACAAGTAAATAAATCAACTAAGAACCAAAAGGGAGTTGAGGATCCACAAGCATTGCATGCATGGAGAAGAATTTCGGTGGTCCCGGACCATCATTAACTCAGTGGTCTGAACTAATTAAAATCATACAACTAATAAAGAGAGAGAAGAAATAAAAAATAACTTTTTGTCCAAATGTCACCTCCTGAATGAACGGACCATGTGGGACTTGGAGCACCAAAAATTTCTCCGCATGCACGACCGCGATAATTATAATAGTAACAATGAAGGTAGGTAGGATTCAAATCCAAATTTGTAAAATGAAATTCTTTAGAATTTTAATCAACTCAATATATTTATTACCTTCATTATTTTTCATGAATATTACTGCTGCTGCTTGCTTTCTGTGGACTTGTAGTTGGGAATTTGAACGTGTCCAGACTCTATGTGCCTAACGTCCTCCAAAAGAATTTCATAGTGTCTCTTCACATCCTCAGCTGATTTATCACCAACTACTTTGGCTATATTTTGCCATCGATCTGGGGTGTCTTTGTCGTACAAGGCAAGTGCTCTTTCAAATTGCTTGTTCTGCAAGGGTGTCCAAGACCAAGAGGAAGAACTTTCTTTGTTATTATTGTTGGAGGAGTTTGAAGCCATAAGTTAGCTCAGGTGAAGGTATTAACGAAGGATTAGTTATTCAGCTAGCTAGAGGTAATGGAAGATTCTGTTTCCATGCAGTTTGGAATAGGACAAGAAGAGAAGAGCTGAAAACAAACAAGGAATAAGGAAAGATAGGGTTCTTTTTTCATGAATAAATATAGGCGGGTTTGCTTCAGTGAATGGTATATGCAAGAGATTGACGAGGGTGCTCTGCTTATGAAAGGTGAAACTGAAGGGATTGTCATGCCTAGATGTGACCCCTAAGTGTAGATTGGGAATGTGATACATTTATTTTTAGATAGTCGAGCGAATGGTATACGGATAAATATGATTTCTTTTAAATGACATAAACTTATATCATTTTAAGAGAGAGATAAACAAAATAAAATAAAATTTATATCTCTGTGTTTTTTTCTCTCTTAAAAAGACCTAAATTTATGTTCTTTGAAATGACACATTTTTTTCTCCATATATATATATATATATATATATATATATATATATATATATATATATATAGGGTTTAGTGTGTGTCATTCAAAATGACACAAGTTGTGTCTTTTTAGTAATTTACGCAGAGTACGACCGGTCGTACTTTGTGTAATTTTGAAAAGTTATTTTTTTCACTTTACTCGTCAGTGATGTGACTGGAAAGAGAAAAAAATAATAACATTTCAGTTTTACACAAAGTACGACCGGTCGTACTTTGTGTAAAACACCTAAAATGACACAAGCTTGTGTCACTCAAAAGAATACTTCTTTTTTTCATATATATATATATATATATATATATATATATATATTGTTTTCATGACTCATGACTAATGTTGAATAAATCAGATGAACTAAAAGTATGTGATGGCCTGAGCTAGTTTTATAAAATTAATTAAGGGGTTAACTCAATAGCAGAATAAGAATACAGCGTATGATCAGTGCCAAATTAGAAACTTGAATAGTTACAAGCATTTTTCTCATGAACTCTAATCTCCTTAGAAAAATGTCATCTTTGACTCGCTTTGGTTCCTTAGTTTATTTCTCAATATTTTCTAGGTCTTGTTACTTTTCGAGGAATAAATAAAGCTTGGCTGTCATTTGATGGAACAGTGACCATTGTGTCACGTTTGGCAAAAAAATTTATCGGACTGCCACGCCAACAGTAAATTTTGTCAAAATGCCACGCGGCATATTTCGCTACACTGTGTAGCGAAATATGTTTGCATGTAATTCGCTACACAGTGTAGCGAAATATGCCACGTCAGAAGCAAAAAGTGCCATGTGTCAAAATTGCTGAAATTCGCTACCCTATGCAGCGAATTTCAACAATTTTGAGAATGACACTTTTTGCTTGTGAGGTTTCTGACGTGGCATGTTTCGCTACACTGTGTAGCGAATTACTTGCAACATATTTCGCTACACAGTATATCGAAATATGCCGCGTGATATTTTGGCAAAATTTACTGTTGGCGTGGCAGTCTGGTAAATTTTTTTTACAAACGTGACAAAATGGTCACTCTCCCTCGTTTGATCTCAACGTTTGACAAGAAAGCTACCGAACAGAGAAGAATGGATATGATATACAGACAGGTAACGTGACAAAGTCCAAACATGCCCCATTTGTTTTGTGGAATAACTGAATAAGCACTTTCAATTGAACTAATATATTAATGCTAGCATTGTTGGTTCACTGTTCAAAAATCTATCACAGATTGCGTGTCTGATGCAGATGCCGTACAACCAAGGCAGCCATATTTGATTGGTTGCAGTGGTACCATGATATAAATGGAAACTTGTAAAAGGACTCGTCCAAAATGCCGGACAAGCAAATTTTTTTTTTTTTGGCAAAAATTTATAGGATTGTCATGTCAGTAGATTTTTTTTATCAAAATATTATGTCACTAAACTTGTTATATTGTGCAGTGAGATTACATGGCACTATGTCAGCAAGTTTAAGGTCACGTAATCTTACTGCACGTAGCGAGATTACATAGCACGACCTAATTCACTGCATTGTGTATCGTTTTATGTTGTGTCATTAACAATTTGATACATGGATTAAGAGATAAATAAATGCTGATTTATTTTTGTTTTCTTTTTAAAAAATATAATAAATAATATAGACGATGGGATATCTATGAAAAAACGATAACGATGAATTAATGTCCAATAAATGTTGATTTATTTTTTGTTTTCATTTTGAAAAATATAATACACAATAAAGACGATAGAGTGTTCAGGGAAAAATGATAAAGACAAATTAATGTCAAATAAATATTGATTTATTTTTTGTTTTCTTTTTAAAAAATATAATAACAATAAAGACCATCTATGGAAAACGATAAAGAAGAAATAATGTCCAATAAATGTTGATTTGTTTTTTGTTTTGTTTTTGGAAAATATAATACACAATAAAGATGAAGGAGTATCCAAATAAGTATCCATGGGAAAACGATAAAGATGATTTAATGTCAAACAAATAATGATTTATTTTTGTTTTCTTTTTGGAAAGAGTATAATACACAATAAAGATGATGAAGTGTCCAAATGGAGTATCCATGAGAAAATGATAAAGACAATTTAATGTCCAATAAATGCTGATTTTTTTATTAGTCCTCTCAATCTACATGTCAAATTGTCACTGGTATTATATAAAACGCTGCATAATACAGCGAATTAGGCCCTGTCACGTAATCTGGCTACACAGTGCAGCGAGATTACGTGGCACCAAATTTGCTGACATAGTGCCACGTAATCTCGCTGTACAGTACACGTGATATGACATTTTGACTGTAAAGAACCAATTCATCTCAAAAGCTCAAGCTATTGGGTGAGGCTACATTAACGGTTTTACATATCTCAACACGCCTCCTCACATGAGAGCCCACTGGACTTGAAGGGTGGACGATGCACAGACTCACCTACCTGTGTGAAGAAAGAAATTCCATTAGAAAGAAAGTGGGAGCGGTGAGGATCGAACCCGGTACACCGAAGCTCTGATACCATGTAAATAGGGGTGTTAACGAGTCGAGCCGAGCCGAGCTTTGGTCTTAACGGGACGAGCCTGTGTTCAAATGTGTCAGACTGACCTTAGCCTGTTACCTGTTACGAATATAATATCAGCCTGTGGCCTGGCTCATTT